TGATACGGTCCATATGTATATCGATCCTTAGCAGCTCGAGGTTGCCCAAGTGCTCTTCGGTATCAAAATATATAAGGAAGGTAGTTTCAATGGGCTAAGCATGTGTAGGCTAGTACTACGATTGAGTACAATGGAGCCTACACGAGGCCACATATCGTCCCCAATTGGAATCGAACCAATTGTCTAAGTATTAACAGTACTTCGCTGCACCGTTTAGCTTTGGGAACCACGTATCCTACGGATAGCCCATGCTTAGGTGGTCCACTATACCACGATGCTTCAAAAGGGGGTTCAAGTGGTATATTGTTCAACAGCAGCTTCCGCTACCATTCCTATATTTCGACTTCATCTCAATCGCTGCACCGCCACTCGAACAAGCTCCAGATGTAAGACTAGTGCCAACTGTGTTGACCAGAGGAACCGTTGCCGGTCACTTTGTTCTGTTAGCCCAACATCCTTTACTCATGCTTCATAACGACATCGCTTTCAAGATGTGACGAGTAATTAGTACATCCCGAGTGGTATGTTCACCGTGCCGCACTACTGCACGATTACTCGCAATTCCTATTTCATGTAGCCGATTGCAGGCTACAATCCGTGTGGCTCCATTTGGGGAGTAGCTCAGTCTCACGACGTTGCATCCCATTGTGGAAGCCTCGGCAGCACAACGGCGGCCCTGTGCATAAGGGTCATGGGGACCTCTCTTAGCCCTACTACACAGCTATATCAGCTGCAGACTGCCAAGAAGATTGGCAGTAAGGATTTCGCATGTTAGCGGATCAAACCAAGCACCATAAGGCACATGCTGAAGAGGGTCATGTAGCACCTGTCACCGGCTGAGACACGTAAATGCCCAGCTGGGATTCAAGCACAGGTAAGGTTATGCGCGGGTCATCGCATTAAGCGTCATGCTTCACTGCGGGTCCTCGGGACCGTCTAATCATTTGGTGTTCTGCCCTGTGGCTGTACTCCCCAGGCGGAGTGCTTATCGCGTTAGCTAAGTGTCTGAGCATTTGCCCAATCACTAGCACTCATCGTTTACAGCGTAGACTACACGGGTATCTAATCCGTTTTGCTCCCTACGCTTTCGTCTCTCAGCGTCAGCACACAACTAGTCACTTGCCTTCGCCATTGGTTCTCCTCCAAGGCTCAAAGCATATCAGCGCTCCTCTTGGAATAGAAGTGACTCCTATGTGGCTCTATCTCCTCGTAACTAGAGTACGAAGAGCCGCCTACAGACCCTTTACGCCGATTCACAACGAGTAATGCTTGCCCTATCGGTCTAACCGAAACTTCTGGCACCGAAATTAGTTAGGACTGGTAGTCAAACGAATCATAATTTAGTCTGACTATACCTCGCGGACCTTCGCCCAACAAGGTTCTAGCTCTCCTGATCACGCTTGCGCGCATTGTCAAGGATCCCGTACTGCTGCGCCCCAAAGAGGAACGGTGGCTATATTTCAGAGTCCACTGGTGACTTCAGGCCTTTCAGCCAAGTCTACACGTCATTGCCTTGGTAAGCTGTTACCTTACCAACTAGCTGCTGTGGTGCAAGTGCATCTGAAGGCGAGTACGACTCTTTCTGTATCATGGATTACCATGTCCTTCAGGTAGCGCCCTGCGATACTACCCTGTACGCCATGGCTCGGCGATCGTTGATCAGAGCCATTGACTTGCATGTATGAAGAGGCTAGATAGCATTCACTCGGGGCCATGATTAAGCCCTTAGTTATAGTTAGTAGCCTACTGGAGGCTACGTATCGTATCAGCACCTCGATAAACGATAGTCGTCAGTCGAGTACGCGATGTACATGTTACTTATAGCGTGAGACAGCTCTGACCGTTGAGATGGGTACACTGTCACTTATAATATAGAGTCGAGACCGATCCTCAACGGATCCTATAAGGAAGTCCGTGTATGATCCTAGCCTTGAGGGCGTCCTGGTCACTATAAGTATCGATAGCAATGTGGAACGTATCATCAAGTGACTAAAGGGACTCTAGGGGATGCCTAGCGAATGTGCCCGAACAGGAGTGGGAACACTGAATGCTTCCTAGTCAGACATCACCAAGTGATGTCCCAAGGGGAGCGACCTGAAGGAAAACCATGATCAGAGTACGGGCCGAACCGAAACATCGTAGTAGGCCTAGGAAAGGAAATCAACCGAGACACTGTCAGTAGCGGCGAGCGAACGCAGTACAGCCAAGTTGCATAGTACAGATGATCTAAGGCTCTGGAAAGGGCCAATTGCACACCATCAGCGCTCTGGTGGCCTCAAAAGGGCCGCATCGTGATGCGAGTATGGACCGTGCAAGCCATAGAAGGTGATAGCCCTGTGGATTTGACGTCTATGTAGCGACTAGCACTGTAGGTGTATGATACTGACCCTTGTGGCAGCTTTGTACATCAGACGCAGTGTGAGTAGAGTGGGATCAAAACTGCTCGAATATGGGGGCACCATCCTCCAAGGCTAAGTATGGCACATTCAGCGATAGTGAAGAGTACCGTGAGGGAAAGGTGGAAAGCAAGTCGATGACTGGTGAGACAGAGCCTGAACCTGGAGTTCTATAAGCAGATAGAAACTTAATTGTTGATATCGTACCTTTTGCATAATGGGTCAGCAACTTAATCTGGCTGGCAAGGTGAAAGCCCTAGCGAAAGCGACTGCAGTTCCAATAAGGAATCTGTGGGTTGAGTCAGTTGGATTAGACCCGAAACGCCGTGATCTAGCCATGAGCAGGGATATAGGCCCGAACAGGTGGACGTTGCATAGTCCTCTGATGACTTGTGGTTAGGAGTGAAATGCTAATCTAACGGCGTGATAGCTGGTTCTCCGCGAAATGCATTGCAGTGCAGCGTCGTTCGTATGTTGTGGCAGGTACAGCACTGGTTGACATGCTCAGTCTGACTGAGCCGACTAGGGGGGTGTGAAAACCCTATCTAGGTCAGCTAACCTCGGAATGGCTACAACATTTGAGCGGCAGTGAGTCGTAGGGTGATAAGGTCTTACGACGAGAGGGAAACAGCCCAGAGACTGAGTTAAGGTCCCTAAGTGGCTAGCAAGTGAAAGTAAGGCAGTTCATAACCGAATACAGCTCCGATGTGGGCTTGGAAGCTGCCATCATTTAAAGAAAGCGTAACAGCTCAGGAGTCTAGGTTATGAGCGCCGAAGATCCATCGGGTCTAACTAGTCCACCAAGACCAGTCTATAGTATTAGATAAGCTGCGGCTATGTAATACTACTAGGTAGCGGAGCGTCCGGCGCTTACGAAGGGCAGTCTTTGATTGTCTGGAGGCAGCTGGAGTGAGGATGCTGGCATGAGTAGCATATGGATGTAAAATCATCCACACCGAATGGGAAAGGGTTTAGTGGGCAAGTTAAACTGCCACTAGTCAAAGCGGTGTCTAAGGGACTAGCCAACGCGAAGTCTCGATGACCATACTGCAGAACGGAGCCTATATAGGCCTTACATCGTACTGTGGAGCTGAAAGGTTCTACAGAGGTGTATAGGCTGGCTTCCAGGAAAATAATGCAGTCTTGCTACCGTACCTCAAACCGACACAGGTTCCCGGGTAGAGTATACTAAGGTGACGGACTAACCATGTTTAAGGAACTCGGCAAACTGACCCCGTACGCTTGGCAATAAGGGGTACTTACGGTTCCTAGCGGATCGTGAGTGACACAGAATCGAAGAGTGCGACTGTTTACCCAAAACACAGCAGCCTGCTAACTCTAACAGAGGTCGTATAGGTTGTGATTCCTGTCCGATGTCAGTTGATATGGGTGCTGGTTGGTAGGTAACTACTAGCCAGGCCCTGAAGAGCTGATCAATGACGGTCTTAACTATAAGGATCCTAAGGTAGCGAAATTCCTTGGCCGCTAATTACGGTCCTGCATGAAAGGAACAGCGATGCTCTTACTGTCTTAAACATGGGTCCGGTGAAATTGAATTAGCCGTGCAGATGCGGTTTACCACCAGTTAGACGAGAAGACCCCATGCACCTTTACTACAGCCTGGTACTGTGCTGTTTCGTTAGTGTCACAGGTATGAGGTAGCTGATATGGCGCAAGTGAGAGCCCTCAACACTAATCAAACACACTACACCTAGTTTACTAGGGACACTGCCTGGCGGGTAGTTTTACTGGGACGGTACCCTCCAAGATTCCATCGGAGGGGTCCAACAGGTACACATAGCTTAGACGGATACTAAGTGATCATGTAAGATCTTCAACAGCGCAATGGCGTAAGTGTGCTAAACTGCAACACTGACAGGTGAAGCAGATACGTAAGTAGGGCATAGTGAACCGATGGTATGTTATGGTACAGCCATCGTTCAACGGATAAGGTACGCTGGGGATAACAGGGTAATAGCGCGAAAGAGTACACATCGTAAGCGCTGTTTGCCACCTCGATGTCGACTCAGCACATCCTCCTGGTGCATCAGCTGGGAAGGGTTCGACTGTTCGTCGATTAAAGTGCTACGTGAGTTGGGTTCAATACGGCGTGAGCCAGTATCGTCTCTATCTTCTGGTGGGATAGGTAATTAATGAGGAACATCCGGTTAGTACGAGAGGACCGCTGGGTGCGCACCTCTGGTGTACCTGCTATTAGCTGCAGTACAGGAGACTGACAGTGGTACCGCAGGGTAGCTACGTGCGTTAAGGATAAGCTCTGAAGGCATCTAAGAGCGAAGCTGCTCCTCCGAGATTACGATGCGACAGGATGTAGACCACGTCCTTGATAGGTTGCAAGTGGAAGTGCCGTAAGGCATGTAGCTGAGCAATACTAATGTGTCGCTAGACTTGATGATACCACATTGCTTCCCCCCCTGGGGAATAATAATAGCCCATAGAGCCTTGGGTAGCTAGACGGCTTGATCGTTATAAGAATCACATGAGATAAGCCGTCAAGCGGAGGGAAGCCTAAAGGTGGGGCGCTCTGTTTGGGTCAGAGACCGTCCAGGTTCGATTCCTGGTCCTCCGAATTTGTTAAAGCACTCCTGGCGCAATTGGTAGCGCAACTCACTTCGGATGAGTAGGCTATACGTTCGAGTCGTATGGGGTGTTACTTAATATGCAAGAGGCTAGAAGGATCCTACTCATCCGACAGACTACAGGTGATCCATAGCTGTCAAGCTGTAAGCGCATATGATGTAGTGGTAACATTGCTCACTTCCAATGAGTCCTCGCCTGTTCGATCCAGGCTATGCGTACAAATTTGGCTATACTCGTAGCCTAATGAAGCTCAAGTTGAGCATTAGAGGTCATAGCTCAACGGTCAGAGCACATAGTTGATAACTGTGGTATGGTGGGTTCAATTCCCCCTGATCTTAGACCAGCTACAGACTATCAGTCAGTCATAGTGCCTAGAATCATTGCAAACTCTAGCAGGAACCCTAGAGTTACCGTGACTCCAACGAGAGGTTGCCTTAGTTCAACGGTAGAACACTAGTTTGTGGATCTAGAGACTCCAGTTCGATTCTGGGAGGTGACCCATTAGATCCTTGTGATTGCCAGGCAACCTGGCCGTTATAAGGGTCTGTAGTCAGGGCCTACAGAGCATCATAGTAGGAAAGTCTAAGGCGAATAATGTCCAACAGCAGCTCAAGCTGTACTGCTACCGTTACAGCGAGTGCTCATTGAGGTTCCAGTAACCTTCAGTGATGCAATCTAGCACTGGATACGCCCATGTATGAGACCCGTAGCATGAAATATGCTCACTGTATCGGCAATGGCCGAATATAGACAGGACTTAGCTTACCGTAGGCCTATAGCCAGTATAGTTCAGTTGGTCAGAACACAACGCTCATGTCGATGTAACACAGGTTCAACCCCTGTTACTGGCCAAACTCAAGTGTCCTAGAGCTACGACCAACAATCGTAGCGTTACACCTTGATGTGCCAGCCTTGGATTACCTTATAGTATTTCCTTGGTTCGCATTACACAGCTGTATCTAGTGAGTCGACATCGTGTAGCTTTGCTCCAGTATTCTTCTCTAACTAGTTAACAGCGTAGTCGCACGCAGACTAACTAACCATCATGACCACATTCGTATTCGGTAAAGTAGCACGTACTCAAGCCATGGGAATGAAGCGTCAAGCCACACGGCTACTAGAAGCATTCTTCCACACGAACAAAGCAGTTGGAGGAGCACCACAATTTAGTGTAACAGCTAACCGTGTGATCGTGCAGGTGCTATACTACACACAACAGGCTCAGCCGAGTCACGCAAGTGTTGTAGCTCTAGCTAACGCACTGTCACGGTGTTGAGGTCGACCTGTCGAGCTACGTATGATCGACGTTGATCTTAACTGTGTGGATGCATCTATCCTAGCGAAGTACCTTGGACTGAACAGCAGTCAGTACTCATTCGTTCGGCTATTCCGGTACCTAAAGTCAACGCTACCACTAGCGATTTCTGAGGGATCAGTACCTGAGAACGCTATGTCGGCATCTCACATTACTGGAGTAGAGGTTCAAGTGTCTGGTCGACTTCCGTCACAACGGTCAGGTCCACGACAGACAGTGAAGTCTCAACGTATCGGATCAGCAGCTACTGGTGCACACGGATCACTAGATTTCGGTCAGTACACCGGTAAGAACAAGCTCGGAGCGTTCACCGTTAAGGTGTGAATCAGCCAACAGAGCAAATAATAACCCGTATCCCCTTTTGCTTCAGGATCCACCTATACGTATAGGGCTATCCCCTCTCATCACCGTCCTCACCCCTATGAGGCATGTAGGTGAGTGTGTTAGGTGTCCTTAAAATCATTATAAGGAAGGCAGTATCGACTCGTCACCTCGCCATTATAAGTATCGCTAGATAGACAGATAGAAAGAAGGAAGGAAGCCATGGTTGTACCGTATACTTTTACCTTACGAATCGAGTGGGAGTGACCACTAGCTGCCTGCATCAGTCACCTACCTATAGGCGTCTACGGCATAACGTAACGCCAACTGTCCGACACCGCGCTATGCTCTATGGCAAGACAGGTAGGAGGCTTAGGCGCCTACGGTATAGTCTCTGTAACGATAAACTCCTTGGGCGAACCATGCGACCCCCAACCTAAAGGTTGGGAAGCTTGTATATTAGAAGCCTCATGTGATAGTGCTAGGGTGTAAGCGACCCCCAACCTAAAGGACATCCAGGAGGTGTACTTGACTTATGTCCTAGTATGATACCGTGAACCTACATGAGAAAGCTTCCCGACCGACTATGGAGGGAGGGGGCCGGGGCCGGACCCTCGAGACACCATATCAATAAGCTGTTGTGACAATGTACCGAGTACTCATCTTTTACCTAAGAGCACTCCGTACCCAGAGGTCTGCATCATCCTGTACCTAGTGGTCTACATCACTCGATCATCCCATAACTCCATCACCTACCTCCAGAGCTGTGACAAAGCACCTAGTACTCATATTTTACCTATGAGCACTCCGTACCCAGAGGTCTCCTGTCTGTAGTGACATGTGAGTCATGCAGGACCGTAATTAGAGGCCAACTCATCCTGGCACAATCACGTGAAGCACACATGAGAAAGCTTCCCGACTACGGAGGGGGTAGGAGGACCGTAATTAGAGGCCAACTCATCCTTGGCTAAGCTCATCCTTGGATCGACCAACGCTGTTACAATGTACCGAATACTCATCTTTTACCTATGAGCACTCCGTACCCAGAGGTCTCCTGTCTGTAGCGTGAGACGATGTGGCAGAGTGACTAGAGGCATCTGACCTCTAGCTATAAGCATCCGTATCTGTATGGACGATAGAGTGAGCAGTTCCATCAGACTTATACGCAGCTATGCTACTTGATTGCCCTATCACCACCCCACCGAGGCGCTAGCCGAGCATAGTTTGGGGGTAGCTTGTCTCCACAAACAATAGGCTCAACATGTGCAACTTGTTCTAGGCCAATGAGTTGCTCGTCAAGATCGAAATCCAGGCCTATCTACAAGGCACGGTAACAGGTTCTTTTTGACAAACGGCTCTTATAGTACGACGCCGACAGCGGAGGCCGAGGACTATAAGAATCGTTGGTCATGTGAGCTGTGTCACCTACGAGCCTTCATCTAGCTACGTGTCATACGGTGCTATAGCATGACATAGGTGATCACTCCCTATTGGTTGCGTGTCATGCCATAGCTGATGTGGTATAGCTGACTAGCGCTGTTTGCGTATCCTACCATAGCTGATGAAGTATAGCTGACTAGTGCTGTTGATAAATCCTACCATAGTCTGATGTGGTATAGCTGATAGGTGATGTTAGCATGGTGTAGCTGACAAGTGATGTTGATATGTCTTACCATAGTCTGATGTGGTATAGCTGACTAGCGTTGTTGGTGTGTCCTACCATAGTCTGATGTGGTATAGCTGACGTGCTGCATATAGTAGTGGTCGCATAGCTTCTGTAACGGTCCATGACACAGAGAGACCTATAGATAGCCTACACCAGTATCCTTTGTTCGGATTGTTGATCAAGGCGATCGTAGACCTGCACAGCCACGCAATGTTCGTCATAGACCTATCGAGGCGTGCTACTATCATATGCCAAAGCTTCTTATAGGGCCTCGACGCTCGTCCCTATAAGAGTCTTTGTCAAAAAAGGCCCCTATTGTGTCTTTTTCTCTCTGTCCTGCCTAGTAGCTAGACGAAGAGGCATTTGTGCCCATGGAAGGTGGTTGTAGTCTTGCTTCAGCTCGTGCTATTACAGATGGAACTGATGTTGCTTCAGGGTACGAACAAGGCTGTGTTAGGGGATTGTCCTATACTCATAGCCCAGAGGGAGCTCATAGTAAAATATGAGTATCAGGTACAAGTGGTCAAGTTAATCTAGGAAGGAGTAGAGCTATAGTAGGTACAGATAGGCCAAGCCTGGTCGTGGTATATAGACATGGTACAGCATAGCGTTGTACCCACGAGACTCCTAGGCCCAGGTAGCTCATAGTAAAATATGAGTATTCGGTACAAGTGGTCAAGTGCATCGAGTACATCATGCAACGCATAGGGGCAATAGAGCAGAGTACGCCATCAAACAGTCGGCCATTACACTATACAGCCTTCGCCTATACCGTACCTCTAAGCGGCCAGAGAGCATACAGCCGCAAAGGACAGTTGGCCATTACACTATGTAGCATACGGCTATAGCTATGTTTGTGTGGTAGCTTCCATCCTTCTATCTTTCTTTCTTTCCTTCTCCCTAGTGATACTTATAATGACGTGTTGACATGTTGGCACTACCTTCCTTATATTAGTGGAGGAGATCGATGCCGATCTGGTCAGCATCCTCAGCCTACTACTGAGACCTAACTAGGGCGCCTTCGCAAGGAGGTCTGGCGATGTGATTATAAGAATCAGACGACCTAGCTAGTGTTCCGGAGCTGTGGCTACTATAAGTAACGCATACGTATGCGTTATCAGCTGTCTGTTGAGTAGCTGTCTAACATGGGAGTGTAGTTTAACTGGCAAAATACATCAGTGTCATTGATGTTGACGCGGGTTCGAGCCCCGTCGCTCCCGACCATGCTTCGTAGTAACCTGTTGCACATTGCGGCAGTACTCTACGTACGCTCACACAAATATAGTCTAGTTGCCAATCTAGGCGCCTGGTTCAGGTTACATGCTGCTACTTGGCAGTTGCCTTAAGTCCGGGTCAAGGCGTTATGGTCAATCTGTAACCATCTAATTCATCTTGCGTAAGCACTACACATTGCCTATCAGTACGTGTAATCAAAGCTACAACCGAGCTTTCGGGTAGCTTACGGTATCTAGGGACCATCGGTGTCTTAGTATCGGTGTGCTTGCGCTGACTGGACCATATTGGCCCCACTAATGCTTTCCAATGGAACCGCTTGGAACTAACCATGCAATCATGACACTTTCTCTAGTGCTATTCCTTGTAGGAATGCTAGGGTTCGTACTGAACCGTAAGAACATCATCCTGATGCTAATCAGCATCGAGATCATGCTCCTAGCAGTTACTCTACTGGTGATCGTCAGCTCATTCGGGTTCGACGACATCCTAGGGCAAACCTACAGTATCTTTATCATCGCCATTGCAGGTGCAGAGTCCGCTATTGGTCTCGGAATCCTAGTTGCCTTCTACCGTCTGCGAGGAACGATCAGCCTACACTAAATGTACCTATCTATCCTCGCTCTGCCTCTACTCGGGGCTATGTCTTCTGGACTTCTTGGGCGTAAGCTCGGAGTCACTGGAGCACAACTGATCACTTGCATTTGCATGATCAGCGCTGCTACACTGTCAGTGGTAGCATTCTACGAGGTTGCCCTTTGTGGCTCACCTGTCTCAATCCACCTAACTGGGTGAGTTGATTCAGGTCTGATGGTTGTTGATTGATCATTCCTATTCGACAGCCTAACAGTCTCAATGCTTCTGCCTGTGCTAGTAGTTTCATCTCTAGTTCACGTGTACTCAATCAGCTACATGTCAGCTGACCCACACAACCAACGGTTCTTCGCCTACCTGTCTATGTTCACCTTCTTCATGCTGGTGCTAGTTACAGGTGACAACTACCTGATCCTATTCGTAGGTTGAGAGGGTATCGGAGTTTCATCATACCTACTAATCAACTTCTGATTCACTCGGATCCAGGCTAACAAGTCTGCGATCAAGGCCATGGTCGTGAACCGTGTAGGTGACACTTTCCTAAGTGTAGCCTTCTTCGTAGTGTTCTGAGCCTTCGGTAACCTTGACTACGCTACAGTATTCAGCCTATCACCATACATGGACGAGACTGTTCTAACAGTTGTCGGTATCCTATTCTTCGCTGCTGCTATGGGTAAATCTGCCCAACTAGGACTGCACATGTGACTACCTGACGCTATGGAGGGACCTACTCCAGTGTCTGCGCTAATCCACGCTGCTACTCTAGTTACAGCCGGAGTTTACCTAATGCTACGATCATCACCTCTGCTAGAGTTCGCTCCAACAGCTCTAGTAGTAGTTACATGATTCGGTGCGGTGACTGCGTTCTTCGCTGCTACAACAGGACTACTACAGAACGATATCAAGCGTGTAATTGCGTACTCAACCTGTTCACAGATGGGGTACCTGTTCATGGCTGTAGGTATCTCACAATACTCTGTAGCTCTGTTCCACCTTGTGAACCACGCGTTCTTCAAGGCTGTACTGTTCCTGGCTGCTGGTGGAGTGCTTCACTCAATGGCAGATCAACAAGACATGCGTCGACTTGGAGGACTGATCAAACTACTTCCATTCACGTACACAGTGATTCTAGTAGGATCACTCAGTCTGATGGCCATTCCCTTCCTGAGTGGTTTCTACTCGAAAGATCTCATCCTTGAGTCTGGATTTGCACACTTCACTGTAAGTGGACACCTAGTCTACTGACTTGGGTCTCTGACAGCTATGATCACTGCCTTCTACTCATTCCGACTGATCAGTCTGACGTTCCTAACTACGCCTAACGCTCCGAAAGGTGACTACGAGCACACACACGAGCAACCGCTGATCATTATGGTACCACTACTGATCCTATCTGTACTATCAATCTGCTTTGGTTACGTAGCCAAAGACAGCTTTGTAGGTATGGGTAGCGACATGCTTGCTAGTGCACTATTCGTACACCCTAGCAACATCACTCTAGTGGAGGCTGAGTTCGCTCTACCTACACTGATCAAGCTGCTACCAGCTATCGGTACACTTCTAGGTGCGTCACTATCACTGCTCATGTACCACACATGATCAGGATTCACTATCGACCTAGCTCTGAGCGACCTCGGAAAACGTGTCTACACGTTCCTGAACGCTAAGTGATACTTCGACGCCATCACTAACCACTACGTGATTGGTAAGTCACTTGGACTTGGTCTAGTTACGGCCAACGTTCTAGATCGAGGTGCTATCGAGCTCCTTGGTCCATTCGGGCTAACTAACGCCCTAACAACTGCTAGTCGAAGCATTGCTAAGCTCGACACTGGAGTTGTAACACAGTACGCCCTATACATGATGATTGGGCTACTGTCACTCACACTAGTGCTATTCCTACCACTGCTAACTGGCCTTGGAGGTGCTGGAGATCTACGGGTACTCATCGTCTTCGTAGCCGGACTGCTGTTTGTATCAAGCAGCACAGCTAAGGCACAAGCCTAGTTTAACCCCCTTTTCGTAGCCTGTAGGGAGTATTGTCGCTATAGGCTTAGATCATTGTTGGTTCTATAAGAAAGGTAGTGATTGCCATGCAGGTTGTTGCTATAAGGACATGGGTCATAACTTACAGACATCATACGCTATAAGTAACTGCTAATTCGCACAGTGTGTCGGCTATGAGTGCATTTGCCTCATTGACTGATACCAGCATAGCCATCAGGATCAGTACCACTCTATAGGCTATGCTGACGACGGATCTAACCTTGTTAGGACTGTCTACAACTCGATTGGACTAATGCAACCTGCGTTAGCCACACTTCATCACACGTGGGAGTCTGTCCCACCCTCAACCTTGGAGTTGAGGTCATCCGAATACGCTGACTGTTATGCTAGACGCCTACCTTGACGCTAGCGGTACTACCAGTCTGTACTCGGCTGAGACCTGCCTAATCAAACCATGCGTCTTCTTAAATCGCACCCGATCCTTGGTCTGGCGAACAGCTACATGATTGACTCACCTCAACCTGCTAGCATTTCGTACATGTGAAACTTCGGATCGCTGCTAGGTGCTTGTCTTGTGATCCAAATCGTCACAGGAGTAACTCTAGCTATGCACTACACTCCTAACATTGAGCTGGCGTTCGTAAGTGTTGAGCACATTATGCGTGATGTTCACTACGGATGAATGATCCGATACCTACACGCTAACACAGCTTCATTCTTCTTCATCTTCGTATACATCCACATTGCACGTGGACTGTACTACGGATCATACCGATCACCACGTGTTCTACCATGATCAATTGGAGTAATCATCCTAGTTCTGATGATCGCCACAGGATTCATGGGATACGTTCTACCATACGGGCAAATGTCACTTTGAGGTGCTACAGTTATTACTAACCTACTAAGTGCTATCCCTTGAATCGGTACTGACTTTGTTCAGTTCGTTTGAGGTGGATTCAGTGTTAACAACGCTACTCTGAACCGACTATTCTCACTGCACTACCTACTACCATTCATCCTGGCTGCACTAGCTGCTATGCACCTACTTGCTATCCACGAGCACGGAAGTAGTAACCCACTAGGAGTTAGCGGTAACACAGACCGACTACCGTTCCACCCTTACTTCGTGTTCAAGGACCTGGTAACGATCTTCCTATTCCTACTAGTACTTGCTCTAGTGATCTTCTTCGTGCCTAACGCGATGGGACACAGTGACAACTACATCCCAGCGAACCCAATGCAGACACCTGCATCGATCGTTCCTGAGTGATACCTACTGCCATTCTACGCGATCCTACGATCTATCCCTAACAAACTGCTAGGGGTTGTAGCTATGTTCAGTTCACTTCTAATCCTACTAGTGATGCCTATCGTAGACACATCACGAGTACGTGGATCACAGTTCCGACCACTAATGCGACTAGCATTCTGAGTGTTCGTAGCTAACTTCGCAGTACTAATGTACGTTGGAAGCCAACACGTTGAGGAGCCATTTATCACACTTGGTGCTATCTCAACAGCCCTATACTTCGGATGATTCCTAGTGATCGTGCCTGTGATCGGAATCGTGGAGAACTCACTCCTCGACCTGGCCACTGACTCTGACGCTAAATAATTGCCTGTAGTCTCCCCTTTTCCTAAAGGGTCTAGTAAGGCCTTCCTATAAAGATACTATGGGTCTCACCTGTTCAGGACCGTGAGGTAGTCTACAACTACCTTACTTATACTAGAATTAGTCACCATGGCTATAAGAGTCCTGTATACTTGGCCCGTGCCGACTGTACAGTAGTACCTCGACGACTAGGTGCCATGCGTTGTTCGTGATCGAATAGCTACATGATAATTCCTGTATGAGCCAGCTTAACCTTGCGCTAAGTTTGCTTCCACTGCAGGTGACCTAGTTTCTAACTGCAACTAGACCCAACACACACACTTCAACTATGTTCTGATTTGCCAATTCGCCTCTCGCTACTGGGCTTAGCGTAATCGTACGGAGCTACACTGCAGGAGCTAAGGATTACCAGGCTCCTACACCTAAGGCTGTAGTCGCGACTAACATCATTGATCCATCGCAGAGCTTCCGAGCCACAAGCATCAAGGAGCTTTGCCGTAAGCTTGATACGGACCCCGCAACAGTCAAACGTCATCTACGTAACGAGACGCAGGGGCCATTCCGGAAGGAGTGACACCTATCATACGCTAAGTAGATATCTGGTGTCTTAGCTAGTAGCGCTAATCCCAGTACTCTCTTATACCCTACCGGTAGAAGATATGATTCGTACCCATTGTACTTATAGAGGATCCATCTCTATAGACTCTAGCGACGCTAGATCGTTATAAGAGTCCTATACACTTGGTACGCGCCAACTGTATAGGCGTACCT